TACATCCCAAAATCACATGTAGGGCCACACTGATACTGTTCCCACTGTCACACTATTACATTAAAATATTGTTGCAAAGAGAAATGCATGTTATGGTTTAAATGGAAAATAAATTACATCTTTCAACTCAGTTGTCATAATAATTCCCCCGTTTGCTATGCCATCACATATTTGTTAGTATAAGGAATGTCTTAAGACAAAAGCAAAAGGAATCAGTTAATTTTTTTTATTTTAAATGGATGTCGGCATTATTGTTTTTTATTCCTAAGAGTGAAAGATCTTTAATCTAAGGTCCTTTCCACACAGTCCTATATCCCAGAATATCAAGGCAGAAAAGCCCACATTATCTGCTTTGAGCTGAAATATATAGCCGTGTGGACTCAGATAACCCAGTTCAAAGCAAAAATTGTGGGATTTTCTGCCTTGATATTCTGGGATATAGGGTTTGCCACTTTAGTATTCTGCAGGGACTACTGCTGGTTACTAGCAGACACCTCGAACATCTTTAGCATGCCCTACTTCTCAAGCATTAATCTAGCAATCATTTCCCATTAGAGACCTTCCATTCCATTGATTTCTATTGCATACCACATTTTGTACCGTCACCTGATGATTTTGAATTTTTTCAAAGCCATTTTCTTGGCTTACAGAAATCTGTGAAATAGTACCCTTACATTTATCCATGTTCCTTAATGGTAGCTCTCCCACAAAATGAATGCATTACATTAGAAGAGAACATGACACTGATGTGCCATACCTGTGCTAGTCTGTTAATTTATTTTCTTCCTGAAGAAAAATGAATGTTGCAACTCTGAAAAACACACCTAAGAGACCTTTTTCACATGTGTTTTATGCCATAGTCTCTTAAACCAGTGCATTAGACTTGATATAGACTATAAAGTAGGAAATACTAAGGTATTATTGGCTATCTTATGCAGAAAAATATTACTCCCCTGGATATTTTAGTCATTGCTAAAAGATAGCACCCAAAGAACTGTATAAAACCCTCTAAAATTACAACTATCCAATAAACAAGAACATGCTGCCAGGGGAAAAGATAAAGTAGCTGCATTTTAACAAGCCGAGGCTGTGTTCAAGCAATATCAGCCTTCTCCCTTGCAAGAATTTGTTGCAAATGTGAGAATAGAGATTATGTTCTTTTGTAAGCCTTTATTTCTTGTATGTTCACCTCAAGCATTTAGCATAGAGAATGCAACATACAAAGTCCAAAAATCTAAATTTGATTTCATCATTTTTTCTCCCTTTGTATTTTTTTAAAGCTTAGATGCCCCAAAGCAAACAGATATAAGTACCAACATTAATAAACACGTTTAAGCCAAAGGCATATGAAAACTTATACTGTCAGAACCAGAGCAAATAAGAAGACACAATGCGAATGAAAGGCATGTTTCGTTTGAGCATGGCCTGAAGCCTTAAAAATAGCCCTCTCCCATTATTCCTTATACTATCTGAAAAGTAACTCCTCCTTAATACATTTAAAAAATAACTTGCTTCACACTCTTTGGGCTTCTTCGTTTTCTTTTTGTTGTTACTATTCATTGTTATTATTTTACTGACACAAAACCACAGTATGTCACAGCAAACGAGACATATATGCTGGATTTATATCTCTCGTTTGCTGTGACATACTGTGTTTTTGTGTAAGTAAAATAATGATAATAATGAACAGTAGAAAAAGTATTATTATTATTTTGCCCAAAACTATCTGACTAAAAAGCTAATGTCATAATGTTGTTGAGCAATTTAGAATGGCTGTGGATAGAGAGATCCAAGTCACTGTGGGTTTAGCCTGGTGAGAAAAAAGAAGCCAATATTCCAGAATAAATCTCACCAAATTGAAGCAGAAGCGACTGAGGTATTAATTTCCATGTCAAGTGGAAAAGGATGATGGCTGCACTAATCTGCTGAAGAAACTGCCATGCCCCGGTACAAGAAATTACACATTTTATACAGTTTCCATGTTTGAATTCCCAGCGCCCGGCTCCGGAGCCGGCTTTGCTGTGATTGGTCAGAGGACTCTCTGACATCATTGGGCTGGGAATAGCAGCCGGGGGCTGGTGTGTTTCAGTCAATGAGAGCCCAAGCCCCACTTCTGACATCACCTCCCTCCCAGCCAATAGCAACAGTGCAGCAATGGTACAACAAAGAGAAATATTTGTCTACTGGTTGGATTATGGCTGGCCCTTCATGGGCCCATTGTTAGATGATCTGGGTGATTGCTGGGAACCCTCAAACCCAATCCGGTTATTGATATGAGGACACAACATTTTCATCTGGCCCCTCAAAGCCAGCCCATTGTCCAAGGGTGTAGTGATACTGGTATCTTGATGGGATCTTCTGATCTGTTTTACTGGGAAGGTGAAATATAATTGTCTGGAAAGCGGTGATATTCCCTTCTCCTCACAGAGGTGGCCAGGGGAGCTTTTGCACAATTAAAACTTGTGCGCCAACTGCGCCTGTACCTTGGGAGGTCGGACTTGGCCACAGTAGTCCATGCTCTGGTTACATCCCGAATAGATTACTGCAACACACACTACGTGGTGTTGCATCTGAAGACTGTTCAGAAACTTCAGCTAGTCCAATGCTCGGCAGCCAAGTTGCTCACAGGAGCGGGATATCGGGAGCGCACAACGCCCTTGCTAAGCCAGCTCCACTGCCTATTAGCTTCCGAACACAATTCAAAGTGCTGGCGTTGGCCTATAAAGCCCTAACGGTTCTGGCCCAGTTTACCTGTCCAAACGTATCTCCCGCTACAAACCACCTAGGACCTTAAGATCATCTGGGGAGGCCCTGCTCACTGTCCTCCCACAATCGCAATCACAGTTGGTAGGGACAAGAGACAGGGCCTTCTCTGTGGTGGCCCCTCGGCTATGGAATTCCCTCCCAAGTGAAATCAGATCCGCTCCTTCCCTCCTGACCTTCCGGAAAAAGGTGACATCCTGACTGTGGGATCAGGCCTTTGTGGACTAGACCGACATGATGGTAGAGCTATGGTTTAATGAACTCTGATGGATTCAAAAGGACTGTGTGAAGGACAACGATTTAAATCTGGTGATTGTTCTAACGTTTTACTGTTTTATGATGTTTTTATAATGTCCTTTGTGAAGAGTGATTAACAAGTCCAAAGGTTCCCCTAATCCTCAATTGGCCTAGTCCTTTGAGGCTTGAGGAAAAAAAGGGCCAGTTACCTATCATCCATATTGTGAAATGTTTGAAAGTCCATTCAACAAAATGCAGACCCAAGGCGTCTGGTGGCACCTGAGTCAGGAAATTGCTGGTTAGAGTTCATAAAAAGGTCACCTTTCCTCATGTTTTATATATACATATATGAAATTATTGGGGATATGGGCCATATACAGTGGTTCATAAAAGGATAAGGGGCATGCAGGGTTGGGAAGAGATGGGTCCTTGTTGTGGTTGTTAGTCCTTCTGCAGACTGGACAAAACTTGACTCTTATTATATCATTCCTGCCTGGCGTCCTTGGCAAAACTATGAATTCCCTGATTATGAACTATCTTTTATTGGGGGGTGGGGCACCTCCGACTACAAAAACACTTGGGAAATCGTTATCAAAATTCTTTTTCAAAGATCTAGAACAACAATTAAAAACTGAAAAAATATCACTCATTTCGACCACAAAGTAACGTTGTCCCCACTCTTTGCACTACTTTTGGCATATGGCTTTAATCCTGCTTGCTTGCATTACTTTTGAAATTTGACTTCATTTATGCTCGCATTATCTAAATACAACCCATTAACACTTAGAGTTATTAATTCCCACTCTTGCACTGAAAACAAGTTCTCGGATGTTCCTAACAGAGAGGCCTGGCCTGATCCACACTACCTCTGCTTGTCAGGTGTCTTTAAAAGTTGTTATTATCCCTTTTGGCTTAGGTTGTTGTGAGTTTTCCTGGCTGTGCGGCCATGTTCTAGAAGCATTCTCTCCTGATGTTTTGCCCACATCTGTGCCAGGCATCCTTGGAGGTTGTGAGGATGCCTGCCATAGATGTGGATGAAGCGTCAGGAGAGAACACTTCTGGAACATAGCCGTACAGCCAGGAAAACTAACATGCAACCCAGTGATTCCGGGCATGAAAGCCTTCCACAACACAGTTTTGGCTTACATTGTGTAAACGTATGGCATTGTTTTGTTGTTTAGAACAGGCCTCCGCAAGAGATGAGTCACCAAGCAGACAGTCCACTCTGCCTGCCAGCTCCTTCCACCACCACCTGCCTCTCTCCTTGTCCTCCTTTGCTGGGATAGGAAGGCAGCCAAACTCAAGCTTCTCAATGGAATGGATGGGCAATCTAAAGATGGAGGGCTAACATAGACCTCCAACTAGCTCCAGAGGTAGAAGATATCCCTTCAATCAGGTTGCAGCCTGGGGACGGGGGAGGACAGAGGAATTCCTGACAGGAAACAATCGGGGCCAGCAAACACATCCCATTCCCAACAAAGGATTCACCCAGGCAGCAAGCAGCCAGGTTTTGAAGCTGCAAGGCTATTCAATGCTAATCAAGGTCGTCAATTGCAACGTTCATACCTGCCTCCAACAGAGAAGAGTTTTTTCTCTCTCATTCCACAGATATATAACCCTCACTTGCCTAGTTTCTAACAGACCTCACAACGTCTGAGGATGTCTGCCATAGATGTGGGCGAAATGTCAGGAGAGAATGCTTCTGGAAGATGGCCATACTTCCCGGTGATTCCGGCCAGTCATAATATGACACTGTCTAGGACAGATGGTCTGCCTTTCCTTTACATCCGTGGCATGTAATTCTTCTTGTTTACAACCATAGCGGCAGTGAGTGTGGTTGCAATGCCCGCGATGCCCATGGGCTGCTTTGTCTGGCCTGGTTTTGGTTTTGCAGGGCTGGAAAGACTGGCAGGAGCTGGGCCAGCCCGCTGCCATGGTGAAGTCAGGATCCCTCTCCAAAACACAACACCGCTCCGCCTGCTGGCAGCTTCCTTGAGGCCACGGTGCCAAAGTGCATGCTTGGCCCCTCTCTCTCGGCTCCTCCTCCCCCCCCTCCCCGGGGGCTCTGGCACTCCGAGGCAACCCCGGGCTCCACCTCGCGCGCGCAACACCCACCACACACAGAGAGGCGCGCGCGCACCCTCACACACGCGCACAGCCAGCCCACACGGCGCGAGGAGCAGCGCGGCGAGGAGGCTCTCTGGCGGCGGCGGCAGCAGCACTCGCAGCGCAGCCACGGCCGCTCCTCCAGGCATGGCACAGGGCTCCGGCGCACTATGGCAGCCGCGCGACACAGCACCCTCGACCTCACCCTCGCAGCCACAGGTGGGGCGCCCCCTCCCCCTCCCTCCTTCCCTCCCACCTGGAAGCCCAACGCGCCTGCCTGCCTGCCTGGCAGAGACGCGCCGCTCTCCACTCTCTCTCTCGCTCTCTCTCCTCCCTGCGCAGCAGCAGCAGCAGCCATGGAGGCCTTGCAGCGCGGCCCCCCTTCCACCTCGGGCAACCCCCGTCCTCTTTGCTGACCCGGGGCTCTCCCCCTTCCCCTTCCACCCCCTTCCTCTAAAATGCGGGGAAGGCAACCCAGCTCCCTTGGAGGAGGACAACCATCCCTGATGCGCCACCGCCACCACCACCACCTTAGGCCTTCCCCTTCTCTTCGCCGCATGGGTCCATTTTCCTCCCGTTTTGCAACCCAGCCACTCCTCCCCCCCCCTTCGGATATGCAGATTGGCCCCTAAAGCTCAGCCTCCCTCCTCCTCGGATCCAACTAAACCCATTTCTTTCCTTTTTGTGTGTTCGTATACCTTTTCTCTTTTTTTGTGGCCCGGCCTCGTGTGGGATTTTACGCGCGCCCTCCCTCCCACGCTCGCATGCGACCTGGGCAGAATCTCTCCATTCATTGCGCGGAAGCAGATCCCCAATGGATCCGCAATCGAGTGCCCAAAACAGAGCAACAGGGACCTTTTCCCCACTCTCCCTCCCTGCCCTTCCTTTCTCATGCCCTTCCGTCCCATTCCCTCCTTCCATCCCTTTCCCCATCCTTCCCTCCCCCCTTCCTTCCCTTGCTCTTCCTTCCCCTTCCTCATCCTCTCCTTCCCTTCCTCTTCCTCCCTCCTTCCTTCCCCTTCTTCCTTCCTTCTTTCCTTCCCCTCCCTCCCTCTTCCCCTCCTCCTTTCTCTTCCTTCCTTTCCTTCTTTCTTCCCCTTCCTTCCTTTCCTTCTTCCTTCTTCCCCTTTTCTCTTCTTTCCTCCCCTTCCTCTTCCCCTTCCTTCCTTCTTCCTTCCTTCCTTCCCCTTCCCTCCTTCCTTCCTCTCCCTTCCTTCCTTTCTTCCTCCCTCCTTCCTTCCCTCCTTCCTTCCTTCCCTCCTTCCTTCCCTCCCTCCTTCCTTCCTTCCTTCCTTCCTTCCTCCCCTCCTTCCTTCCCCTTCCTCCTTCCCCTCTTCCCCTTCCCTTCCCCTTCCTTCCTCCCTTCCTCCTTCTCCTTTCTTCCATTCCCCTTCCTTCCCCCCTTTCCCTTCCCTCCTTCCTTCCCCTTCCTCCCCCTTTCTTTCCTCCTTCCCTCCCTTCCATTCCCCATCCTTCCCCTTCATTCCTTCCTTTCTTCCCGTTCCTTTCCCACCTTCCTTCCTTCCATCCATCCATTCCCCTTCCTTCCCTTCCCTCATTCCTTCTTTTCTTCCCCTTCCCCTCTTTCCTCCCTCCTTCCTTTCCCTCCTTCCTTCCCTTCCCCTCCATTCTTCCTTCCTTGCAAGGGAGGGCATGCTTTTGTTAGGTGTGCATTTTCATAAAACGTGTATCCCTTGAGATGAGATAATAATAGCAACACTTCCTTGTGTCTCAGCCGCTGGGCATTCCAACCACAGCTTTTAAAAAAATGCATCTTGGGAGCAAGAGTTAGCTATTCATACTGTCCTTACAGCCACATGCCTGACCTCAATCTGTCCCTTCCTCCTTTTCCCTGCAAGGTTGTTCACAGCCTATTCCTCCCCCTCCCAATTAATCCCCCGTCCTTGCTTATAAGGGAAAATCTGGGCCAAAAGGAGAAAACTGGTGTGAATTAGGTTATTATTGCAGGGATAAGATGCATCTGTTGAAGGGGTTAATTATAAAAATGGGGGGAGGGGGGAGAGAAACTCAGCAGGAAGTGAAAGACCAGGAAGTTCCCCCTTGTTTTAGCTGAATTGGATTGGAAATGTGCCTTGTCATTCTTCTCTACTACAGTTGCAAAGGAAAGACAAAAGGAATGCCTCCTTTGGCTGTTTCCCCCTTTTAAGGCAGCACTTGCATGAGAAAGAAGTGGTTGCCACCCCAGGAAGCATGATTCTCCCAGCTGTAATGGCCAGATTAACATTAAGAGGACATGTAGTCACATAGTTTACTATTTCAGGTATGGGTAAACTAGGGGCCCCTCCAGGTGTTTTGGACTTCAACTCCCACAATTCCTGGCTTCAGCGCTTAAGCGGCTGAGGGGGAAAAGGAAGGGGCCTGAAGCCAGGAATTGTGGGAGTTGAAGTCCAAAACACCTGGAGGGGCCCCTAATTTAATTAATAAATAATAAAACTTTATTTATATATGCAGAGCAGTTTCCAAGTAGCATCACCAAAACATACAGAGTAAAACAGCATACAATAAAACAAACAAAACAACATAAGCATAAAATTATCACAATAACACACATATATTAAAAGTCATCCTGCCTGTTCAAAGCCATTTAAAAAAGGGCCGGGCCGAGGCTAGTGTAAACTCAGAAAATGAGGGGAATTGAGTGCAGTGCTATAACAGGCAATAGCAAATACGGGTCCGTGGCTTATCGTTTCCGGGGCCTGTTGGAGGAAGTGGCTGGGGTAATAGGTAGGAATTATAAGGGCATATTTAACAATGTTTGGGGCTGGGCTAGAACTGGTCATTCTCAAAGGCTTGTTGAAACCACCAGGTCTTCAAGCTCTTACGAAAGGAGGGGAGGGATGGGGCCTGTCATTTCCCTTGGAAGGGCGTTCCAGAGGTGGAGGGCCACCACCGAGAAGGCCCTCCCTCTCATCCCCACCATCTAGGATGTTAAGATCTTCTGGGGAGGCCCTGTTCTTGCTCCTGCCTTCTTCGCAGATGTGTCTTGCGAGAACGAGAGACAGGGCCTTCTCAGCGGTGGCCCCTCGACTGTGGAACGCCTTGCCTAGAGATATAAGATAGGCTCCCTCCCTCCCGACTTTTCGAAAAAAAGGTGAAAACCTGGCTTTTTGAGGAGGCCTTCCCAAATACCGCATAGCAAAACAGAATTATGGGACTACTTGATAATGCAATGGAATAACTATTTGACATGGAGATGCTCACGATAATGTTTTAAAGCTTTGTAGGGTTTTTATATTTTTTTATATCATATGCTATTGTTTTTAATAGAATTTCTTGATTGTTTTTATTTGTTATAATTGTTGCGGCATTGAATTGTTGCCAATTTGTGAACCGCTCTGAGTCGCCTCTGGGCTAAGTGGGGCGGTATTTAAATGTAGTAAATAAATAAACAAACTGTACTTGTGACGGTGGCGGGAGTGAAAGGAGGGCCTCCCCGAAGATCTTAGAGTTCGCGCCGGTTCATAGAAGGAAATGGGATCACGGAGATAGGCGGGGCCCGAACTGTTCAGGTCTTTATAGGTCATAACCTGCACCTCGAATTTGGCTCGACAATTTATCGGCAGCCAATGAAGCTATTTTAATAGGGGCATTGTATGTTCCCTATAGTTTGCTCCAGTAAGGAGCCTGGCTGCTGCCTGTTGTACCAATTGAAACTTCCAGGCTGTCTTCAAGAGCAGCCCCAAGTAGAGCGCATTGCAGTATTCCAGGCATGGACCACCCTGGCCAAATCAGACATCGCCCATGCCTAATCTATATACTTCAGAGCTTCAGTGGTTGACCTTTATCAACAATTCCACTTGCTCCAAAGAGCTGAAATATTCAGCCTTTCAGAGTATAGTGCAACTTCAGTGGCTTTGAGAAGTATGGTCTATAAGACATAAGTATGTCTATAAGGCAGAGAATAGCCCCTACACTAGGCCCCTTCAAATAGATAGAAGCTGAACCAATGACCTTTATGGCATCAGCGTTTCCTCAAGAGCAGCAAGTTTATTTTTACCCATGTGAGCGAAAGGGCAGCCGTTCACTTATTTGAAGGCCCTTCAGTCGTATTAAGTATTGCATCTGGGGGCCCTTCCACACAGACATATAACCCAGAATATCAAGGCAGAAAATCCCGTAATATCTGCTTTGAGATGGGTTATTTGAGTCCACACTGCCATATATTCCAGTTCAGAGCAGGTAATGTGGGATTTTATTCAGCTGTGTGGAAGGGGCCTAGCTTCATTGGGAATCAAAGACCAGCTCTTGCTGCGTTCAGTCAGGGGTGCATCTCCCTAGTAGGGAGATGCACCCCTAATACCACTTTAGCAATGGTAAAGTGTAGTTTTATAAGGCTTTGCCTTTTTTGCCAAGGAATGCTAGTGCCTCATTAAACTCCAATCCCCAGGATTCCATAGCATTGAGTCATGGCTGTTACAGTGGGGTTAAACTGCATTATTTCTACTGTGTAGATGCACCCTCTATTTGAAGACAAGGGGGGGGGGGCATGGAAAGAATACAGTAGAGTCTCGGTTATTCAACATAAATGGGCCAGTAGAACGTTGGATAAGCAAAAATGTCGGATAATAAGGAAGGATTAAGGAAAAGCCTATTAAACGTCAAATTACATTAGGATTTTACAAATTAAAAACCAAAACATCATGTTTTACAACAAATGGACAGAAAAGGCAGTTCAATACACAGTAATGTTATGTAGTAATTTGTGTATTTATGAATTTAGCACCAAAACATCACAATGTATTCATACAGCTGTGGATCTGGGCGGGAGGCAGACTGCATTGGATAATACAGAACGTTGGATGAGCGAAGGTTGGATAAGCAAGACTCTACTGTAGCAGCTCTGTGACAGTGAGACTGGCTAGTTTGGAGTGTCTGGATTTGCAATATGCCTTCTCTTGGCAGAGCTGTAGGTATCAGTTGTTGGTGGTGTGACTGGCAAAACTATTCTTATTTGGGTTGCTGTGAGTTTTCCAGACTGCATGGCCATATTCCAGAAGCATTCTCTCCTCACGTTTTGACCACATCTGTGGCAGGCATTCTCAGAGGTTGAGGGGTCTTGGAAACTAGGCAAGTGAGGTTATATATCTGTGGAATGTCTAGGGTGGGGGAAAGAACTCTTGTTTGCTTGATGCAGACAATCAGGGCCACCTCCCAGCAAAGGATTGCCCCAGGCAGCAATCAGCCGTGCTTTGAAGCTG